CCTGGCTGCGGGGTTCCAGCTGGAGGAAGCGCCCACCCACCTGCGGCGGGCTCTGCACCTCGACACCCGCCCTTCCAAGGGATTCCTGGGAGCATCCAACCGCCCTCCCGGGGCGTCACGTTTTGCTTCCAGCCCGTTTGGAGCACGGAGGGGTTGGAAAAGCGGCTCCGCATCCCAAGGTTTGGAAGCAGCGGCCATTTCCCCGCCGGGGGAGCGGCCGAGGAGCCGCAGCCGCTCCAGGGAAAGGGGGTGAGGAGGATCCGCGCGTCCAGCCCCGATCCCAGGGAAGGGCTGGGAAGGGAAATGGGATTGAAGGGATGAAGGGACGCCTGTGGAGCTCCCAAAGGTGCGGCATCCCGGGAGCCCCGAGGGGCAGGAGCATCCCAGCCCCCGAAAGCCCCTCCGGAGACCCGGAGCGGTTCGTTCCTCACCTCGACCCGCACCGATCCCGCCCAGCTGACCCGGGAAAGGGGGATTGTTCCCAGGATTTGGGGGATTCCCCTTCCAAGCAGCCCCAAACACTTGGTCAGGCTGGGAGGGGAGGCCAGAACCTCACTGAAGAGCCACTTTTGCTGGAGCTGGAGCTGCTCCCCCCTCAGATCCATCACTCCCTCACCAGGGTTTTATTGCCGGCAATAACTCCTGGAAAATCCTCCCCAGATGGGAATTTTATTGGGATCATCACTGCAGTCTGAGTTATGGGGCTGTGATCCCTCAAAGGAGCTGGGCCAGGGTGGAAATCAGGGATCCTGCAACTTTCCTGACCTGTTTTTATGGGATTGAGGACAAGGGAGAGGGGAGAAAATGTCATTGATCCCATCCAGGCCAGCTCCTATTCCAGGAGAAATAAGAAAAAAGGGACTTTTAATTTTTTTTCCTAATTAAGCTCATCTTTCTGAGCTTTTCCACCTGGGAATGACAATTCCCTTGTTTCTTATGGCCATAGAACATCTATCTTTCCATGTATACAGGAGGCGGTGGTGCTGCATAAACCCTTCTAGTGCTGCTTTACACATGGAACCACTCCTCAATCCCACTTTTTTGGGAGGGATTCCCATGCAAACCACCCAAATTCCCATTTTTTCCACAGGGAACACACGTGTGAGGATGTCCTTAGCACTGGGATGGCCACAGATCCTGATTCAAGGAGGGGTTTAGGGCTGGTTCCTGGAGGATTTGCATTAAATTTGGGGAATTCTGGAGGAATAGATCCCAAATGGTGGATTTTCCATGAAAATACATAATTATGGATAATTACATCTCCAGAAATAGATATCAAATATAAGTATAAATTATACAAACGTATAAAATCTCAATTGTCTGCTGCCTCCAGGCTCCCTGCCCTGAGGATGAGGGAGAGGGAGGAATAAAAACCAGCCCCAGGACGAATTTCTTCTCTAATTAAGGTTTAATTGGTGCAAAGAGAGCCTTGAAAATTGTACCCCCAAAAACAAAGGGATGGGGAAAAAGCAGAGCCTCTCCTGTGCTGGAACCTGGGAAAGGGGCATGAAAAAAGTGGAAAATTAATAAAATAAATGGAAATAGAAGGGATTTGAAGAGCAAGGATGGATTTAAATCCCTAAATTATTCCAGTGCCTTGAAGGGGGAAATATCCCCTTTAATTGGGTGGCACCCACTGAGCAGGGAGGGAAACAGCCCAGGGGACTCCAAGGAAAACATCTAAGGCTCAGGGATGGTTTGTAAAGGGTTTCCTTGGAAGTCAAGGTTGTTCCCATCTCATCTGGCAGCCACGGATTGGGTCTGATGGAATCATTTCCACCCTCTGGCTGCTGCTTCCATAGGATTTAATAACCCACTGATTTCAGAAAGAGCCTCAGTGCATCCCATGGGAATAATATTCTCCTTCCTGCCTTATATATATATATAAAATATATATTTGTGTATATATGTGTGTGTCCTATACATACATATTACATATATTACACACACATTTATGTATGTGTGTGGATATTAATGTATATGTCTCTCTCTATATATCTGTATCTGTATACATATACTGCAAGAGCAGTGTAGGGAACAGAACAAAGGTCTCTATGGAACCTTTGTCGACCTCACCAAGGCTTTCGATCCTGTGAGCAGAAAAGGTCTGTGGCAGATTTTGGACCGTTTAGGTTGTCCCCCCAAGTTCCTTAAAATGATCATCTCACTCCACGAGGATCAGCACAGGCAAGTCAGATATGGCAATGCACTTTCTGAGCCCTTTCTAATAAAGAATGGTGTGAAACAAGGCTGCGTTCTCGCTCCAACCCTATTCACAATCTTTTCCAGCAGGATGCTCCAAAGGGCCACGACAGACCTTGATGATCAGGACGGGATCTACATCCGATACTGTACTGATGGAAGCCTCTTCAACCTAAGGGGACTGAAGGCCCACACCAAGACCCTAAACCATCTTGTCCGGGAGCTGCTTTATGCTGATGACGCCGCCCTTGTCGCCCACACAGAAGCAGCCCTGCAGCGTTTAACATCCTGCTTTGCAGATGCTGCTGAGCTCTTTGGGCTGGAAGTCAGCTTAAAGAAGACAGAAGTTCTCCATCAACCTGCACCTCAGGAAGTCCCCCATCATCCCCACATCACCATTGGCCAATCAGAGCTCAAATCAGTCCAGCAGTTTAATTACCCAGGCAGCCTCATCTCCTCGGATGGTGAGATTGACGGGGAGATGGACAACAGGTTAGCAAAGGCATCGAGAGCTTTTGGAAAGCTCCATCAAAGAGTCTGGCAAAATAAACACTTGAAGAAAAGCACCAAGATCGGTGTTTACAAAGCCATAGTGTTGTCTGCTCTCTTATATGGATCTGAATCATGGGTCATCCACCGCCACCACCTGCGACTCCTGGAACACTTCCATCAACGCTGCCTCCGTACGATCCTAAACATCCACTGGTCAGATGATGTGACCAACACATCTGTTCTAGAACAGGCAGCAGTCACAAGTATTGAGGCCATGTTGCTGAGAACACAGCTGGGCTGGGCAGGGCACATCTCCAGGATGAAGGACCAACCACCGCCTCCCGAAGGTCCTGCTTTATGGTGAACTTGCCACCGGCTGCCGCAAGAGAGGAGCCCCAAAGAGGAGATACAAGGACTGCCTGAAACAACATCGCAGCCTTGGCCATATTGACCAACATAACTGGTCTACTCTGGCCTCCAATCGGGAGGCCTGGAGACACCTCATCTATAACGCTGCTGATGCCTTTGAGAACACAGCAGGATCACCCTTGAGGAGAAAAGGCAACGCAGAAAGAACCGTGTCTTGCAGAATACACCATCTAAAGAGTCTTTCTGCTGTGCCTTCTGCAACCGGACATGCCTGTCTTGTATTGGCCTCATTAGCCACCAGTGTGCCTGTAACAAACGTGGGTAGAGCCTTCCTTAATCTTCGTTCGCGAAGCCTGGCCATGACATACATATAGAATAGGGTCTGGTGACAAGGATCAGCCACAGGTTGGACTTGATTGTCTTGGAAGTGTTTTCCAACCTCAGTGATTCCTAAAGGACACTCGTTTGGGATAAGGAAATAAAATCCAAGGTGGTGGAGCAGCCTCCTGGTGCCACCAGTCCGTTCCCAGAGGGAAAACAGCTGTAGCTCCAAGAGCACCATCCTCATTTTGGGGTGTTTTAGTTGGAATTGTAGCCCGGGGAGGACTGCTGGAGTCCCTAAAAATTGGGTTTCTGATGTTCCTTTATCTCATTAAACTCCCGGATTGGGGTCCCAGAGAGCCCTGCAATAAACACAAACATGTATTTAATGCTGTCATTCCAAAGCATGGGAAGTCCCTGCCAGGCCCTGGAAATCCAGCTGCTTTTCCCACAGGTCCTTGCAGTGACAAAGTTGCAAAGGAAAAGAGGGAGAACAGGTGGGAAAATCCAGGAGCTCCTTCCCACCCTCCCCTTGGCACCGCCGGGCTCGTGCTCCTTCCTCTGGGGCATCTCCAGGGCCAGGCTGGAGAATTCCCACCCTCGGAGCTGCTCCACAGGGAGAAAACTTCAGCAGGGAGGGCAAAGGAATCCCAGGCCAGCTCAGCCCAGCTCCGGTGGATGAGCCGGCGCTCCAGAGCCACGGTGCCGGACAATCCCAGTGCTCCGGAGCGGGAGCCTGGACAATCCCAGCTCTCCAGAGCAGGAGCTGTTGGACAGTCCCAGCTCTCCAGAGCAGGAGCTGTTGGACAATCCTGGCTCTCCGGAGCGGGAGCCGCCGGCCCATTTCAGGGCTGAGCGCTTGGGAATTTCGATCTGATAATTGTGATGCTACAAATGAAAATCAAATTGGAGGCACTTAAAGGGTCGGGTCATAAATTGATTTAAGTCCTCGGACAAGTTTCCACGTCGCTGGCCTTGGATTTCTGCGAGAATGGAGCCGTGCCAGAGGAACAGGGGATGGGGCACATCCTTCTGGGGATATTCCCTCCATCCCACACCATTCCTGAGGGGGAAAAGGGTGTTTTGGAGCTTCCTGTTGATTTCTGAGGATGTGCAGCTCCAAGGGGGTGGATCAGAATCCCAGGGTTTGGGCCGGGAGGGACCTCAAAGCTCATCCCATCCCACCCCCTGCCATGGCCAGAGACACCTTCCACCAGCCCAGGTTGCTCCAAGCCCTGTCCAACCTGGCCTTGGACACTTCCAGGGATGGGGCAGCCACAGCTTCTCTGGGCAACCTGTGCCAGGGCCAAACCACCCTCACAGGGAAGGATTCCCTCCCAATATCTAAGAACTGGATTCCCTCAAATCTGGCTTTCTCCGCAGTCACAATAATCCTAGAATCCCAGACTGGTTTGGGTTGGAAGGACCTTAAAGCCCATCCAGTCCCACCCCTGCCATGGGCAGGGACACCTCCCACTACCCCAGGTTGCTCCAAACCCCGTCCAACCTGGCCTTGGACACTTCCAGGGAAGTGGAGCCCCTTGGGATGTTCCCACCAAACCAAGGGAAGGAATGTTTGCACCCGAAGCCGGAGTTACAGAACTGCACAAAACACGCCAATTCCTACGGGATTTATTTCCACACTCCCCCCATTTCCTTTCCTTGGAAGCCAAGCGTCCTCAGCTCCCAAAACCGGGGGGTTTCGTACCAAAGAGCCTCAAGTCACAGTCCAGAAGAAGTGGTTATTCCAGGCAAAACCCGCTGGGAGCTGCCACCCCCATTCCTGGCGCTCCCAGTGTCCCAATATATACAGATTCCTTCTTTGTACAGGTCATAATATACAACATATTTATATATATATAAATGTATAGAGGGGGTACTCACACACGGACACACGGACACCTCGGGCCGGGAGCAGCCCCCCCACAGCCCGCAGGGAGGGCGCCGCTCCCGCCGCCCGGAATTCCCACTTTCCATGCAAACAGCTGGTTTTCAGGGAAGAAACTCCCCATTTTTTTCAGTTTTTTCCTCTTTATAAAAATAACAGGTGATGCACCCGGGGCAGGGCCACCCCCGGCAGCTGTTGGGTGGCTTGAGGTAGGTGCCGGGTTGGTGGGGAATCCCGGGAATGCTGCAGCAGCAACCGGAGCTGCCAGAGGAGCAGCACGGGGGGGGGAGAATCCCGGGATCTGCCAGATGAGCAAGGTGGGGAGAGAATCCTGGGAAGGCTGCAGCATCCACGGGATCCGCCAGATGAGCAGGGTTGGGGGGAATCCCGGGAATGCCACAGCATTGGTGGGATCTGCCAGGGGAGCAGGGTGGGGAGAGAATCCCGGGAATGCTGCAGCATCAACGGGATCTGCCAGATGAGCAGGATGGAGGGAATCCCAGGATCTGCCAGATGAGCTTCGTGGGGGGGAATCCCAGGATCTGCCAGATGAGCACAGTTGGGGGGCAACTCCAAGAATGCAGCAGCATCAGTGGGATCTGCCAGATGAGCAGGATGGCAGGAAATCCCAGGATCTGCCAAGTGAGCAGGATGGGGGGGAATCCCGGGATCTGCCAGATGAGCGGGGTGTGGGAGGGTCCCGGGAATGCTGCAACATCAGTGGGCGAGTGAGGAATCCCGGGAATGCCATAGCATCAGTGGGATCTGCCAGGTGAGCAGGGAGGGCTGGGATCCCGGGAATGCTACAGCGCCAGCGGGAGCTGCCAGATGAGCAGGGAGCTGTCGCCGTTGCCCGCCCTGTCCCTGTGCGGGCCGTCCCCGCGGAAGTTGCGGTACCCGCGGCCCCCGGACACGATGGCCACGGAGGAGATCTCCTTGCGGGGGGTGTCGCGGGCGCAGGGCCGGCTCCTCACCCACACGTCGGGGTCGTCGGCCAGCTCGTAGATGGACCCGTCCTCCTCGGCGTGTGCCGGCGTTCCCGGCGGGGATTCCCGCACGGAGAGCAGCTGCCCGGGCAGGTGGGCCGTGGAGCGCAGCCGGTACTGCAGCAGGATCCCTTTCTTCCTCAGCTCCCGCGGGGGAGGCCCCTCCAGCTCCGGGCCTTTCTCCTCCTCGGCCCCCTCCTCCTCCTCCTCCCGGTCGCCCCGGAGGACGTCGGGGGCCAACGTGCTCAGAGCCACTGCCAGGAACTCCACGGGGCCGCCATGGCCGTTGAGGGACACCATGCCCTTCCCTGCGGGAGAACGCGGGGATGTGGCTCCAGCCGAGCCTGGGAACGGGGGATTCCCGGGCGGGGAAGGGCCGGGGCTCACCGGTGATCTTGGGGATCCCCTCCAGGCGGGGCACGGGCAGCAGCACGATGATGCCCTGGTCGGTGCCCACCCAGAGCGAGCCCTGGCAGATGAGCAGGCTGGTGACACGCACGTGCTTGTGACCTGGGCAGGGGAGAGAGAGGAGCGGGGAGAACTCCACATCAAACTCCCAAAGAATTCAGCACCGCAGGAGATTTTACGCAGAACATCCTCTGGAAGCCCCCAAACCCAGGATGATGCCCTGGCTGGAGCCCCCCTAGAGCAAGCCCTGGCAGAGGTGACACAGATGTGGGTTTTGATCTGTGGAAGCAGAAAGAAAAAAGAGGCTGAGGGATAATTTCACATCAAACTCCCAAAGAAACCATCACCAGTGGATTTTTTTGCCTCTGGAAGCCCCCAGAACCAAAGCAGCACCTTGGCATGAAGGTCTCCATGGCGGGGAAAGGGCTAAAAATCTACACAAATAAAAAGGAGAGCAGGGGAAAAAAAAGAGAAAAGTGAGACTTCTAATGGGAAGTGAATATTTTATGGGCAGGACTTAGCGCCGCACGACGTCCGACTCGGAGCAGCAATAAATCCACAGAGATGCAACTCTGGGTTCCTCCAGGAGGATTTTATTAATGACCTGCCAACTTAAAAAGGATGAAGGAGCACAAGTTCAAAAATGCATTAATCCCCACCACTCGCTCGCCCGGGAAGAAAGGGAAGTGATGAATATTGGAACATGCCCTAAAAAAGCGGGAAAAAAATGGAGCCAAAGGGATTTACAAGAGGATCCTCGGGACCAACGACAAGATCATGGAGCTCCCAGGGGAACAGGGGACAGCCCAGGGAGGGGCAGGAACACAGGGATGGGAATGGGATGGGGGGAAATGGGGGAAAGGGGTGCACAGGGCAATGGGGGGGTGCATGGATGCGGGAATGGGGCAAGGATGGGAGGGAAGGGATAGGGGAACGAGGATGGGGGGACAGGGATGGGAGGGACAGGGATGGGAGGGACAGGGATGGAAGGGACAGGGATGGGGGGAACAGGGATGGGGGGAACAGGGATGGGGGGAACAGGGATGGGGGGAACAGGGATGGGGGGAACAGGGATGGGGGACAAGGATAGGGTCATGGATGGGGGGACAAGGATAGGGTGCAGGGATGCATAGGGACAAGGATGGGGGCAAGGAGAGGCATTCACAGAGCAAAGATGGGGTGCAAGCATGGGACACAGGGATGGGGAACAGGGATAGGACACGTGTGCAGGGATGGAGACATGGACGGGACACATGTGCAGGGATGGGACACATGTGCAGGGATGGAGCACATGTGCAGGGATGGAGCACATGGACAAGGTGCACATATGGAGATGCAAAGCTGGGATTCATGGATACACACACAGGGGCACAGACCAGCTCAACCTCTGCAGCCCGTGAGCAGAGCCCAGAGCTCCAGAGCCTCACCCAGCACCCTGTTTCTCCCCAGTCCCTCTGGAGAGCAGGGAACCAACCCCAAAGAGCACAAAATTAATTTGTTCATTTCACAGAAAGAAAACACAGATTTGAAAATTCTAAAAAGTCGTAAGTATTGAGACTGATTTGGGGAAAGTCAGACTTTGGCATTTTAAATATAACAATAAATTCTAACAAGTTGTTGTTTTAACAAGGAGTTGCCAGGGCAATGCCCCCAGGGCACTGCCAGAGCAGCCGGGGGGCTCAGGGCTCACCTGGGAGCACGAAGGTGGTCCTGGTGGCGACGTTGATCTCCTGCAGGTGCTCCAGGGTCTCGGTGTGGAAGAGGCGGATGGAGGAGCCCGAGGCAAAGGCCATCCAGACCCCACTGCCCGCCTTCACCATGTGGGTCACGCTGGCCTCGGCCTCGGGGTGGGCCTCGAAGGTTTGCTGGGGGGAAGCCCAGAAGGAAATCAAAAGGGGGCTCCCCAAAAGTGCAGCTTGGGCTCTCTCCAGGAGCTTCTTTGGGGCTCCAAAGCTGCACAGGGAGGGGCCAGAGTGACCCTGAGTTCCCTTCCCTCCTCAGCAGCTCCAGCTCTGGGAGAGCACCTGGGAACCAGCCCATCTGCAAACCCCTCTGGGATTTTTGGGATGGTAACACAGCTTTTCCCACTCCTCCAGGGTTTTTGTCCTTCTCTGAAAGATTCATTTCCCAGACCAAATGCATCTGCAAAATCCATTTCAATACAGGGTGAGACCCTCCTGCTTCCTCTGACCCCAAAAACCAGCCAGGAGAGGCTCAGCCTCCCTGCCCCAGGATCCTTGGGAATCATGGATTGGGCCATCTGCTTCCCAAACTCCCCACTGGAGCATTTCCCTGTCAGACATGAGATGCAAACTGCAGGAAAGGCACCTTTTTGGCATCAAAACTCATCCCTGCTGCAGCCTGGCCTTTAAAATTTACTTTACAGTGAAAAAAGAGGAGCTGGGGTTGATCCCCTTCCCACAGAAGGGGCACAAAGCACCTCCCAAAAAACCTGTCCCAAGACAGGAGTGAATAGAGATTTTCAGGTGATCTCCCCATATTTCCCCACCCTCCCTGGGATCCATTCCATGCTGGTTTATTCCCAGACCAAGACCCTATTCCACGGCACTATTTACACCACCCCATAGCAACCCTCACCCCTATTTTTTTCCCCTTCTGCAAAAAAAAAATCCCCTCCTGTCATAAATAAAGAGGGAGCCTGGAAAGGAATCCAGTCCCCAATGCATAATTCATGTCCATCAGCACCCTCGGGCTGGATTTATGACAGCTGATACATGCAAACCGAGTTGGGGCACTAAATGTGGAAATGAAGGTGGGAGAAAAGGGGGTTTTTAAAGCAAAAAGCGACTCTGCAGCATACCCTGGTTGTGCAGCTGCAGGAGGGGGCTCAGCACCTCCCTCCTGTGATCCAACACGGGAGGGAAGGGAGCCAGAAATGAGGGAAAGCAGCAGGAAAAGGCTGGTTTGGGCAGTACAGGGCAGGGATGGGCCCGGGCAGGGGGATCAGCTGGGGCTCCAACCCCGCCCCAGAGCTCTGACCGTTCCCAAGGGATGCAGATCCCGGATCCTGGGGATGCTCCTACCTGGGCCCGGAGGGTGGTGGCATCAAGGACAGTGACCTGGTTGGCACAGCTGGCCCACAGGGTCTCCTCCAGGGTCAGCAGGGCACGGACGGGGCCGGTGCCCACGGGCAGGCGGGTGGGCTGCGCTGCCGGGTCCCAGAGCCCCCCTGGAGCACAGGGATGGGATCAGGGGGAGCACCAGGAAAATCAGCTTTGTGTGGAGCTGAACCCCCCCAAAATGTGGGCTGGGGTCACTGGGGACCCCTCACACCTCCAAGGATCCCAATTCCACAATCCAAAGGCCAAAGGGGGGTTATTCCCTCCGTTCCAACCCCTCCAAATTCCCTCTGCTCCCGTGCAGCTTTGGAGCAGGGAACAACTGCCCACCTGCAGCACTCAGGCACGTTCCTTGTTGGAAAAGCCAAAAATCCCCCTTTTTCCCATTTATCTGCTCTTCAAGTGACACTCCAGGGCCATTCTGGAGCGTCCCTGTGAACAGCATCCAACGTGGATTTGGATGAATCCACCACCAACAGCTGCAATACATAATCACTCTCTTTTTTTTTCATTTCCAATGCTTTTTTTTAACTCAGACCCTAAGATCTGATGGATAAAAGAACCCTTTGGATCCTCCAACCTCTTCTCCCATCAGCAGGGGTTTGCAACTGATTCCTCTTTCAGCAAATCCTCATTTCAGCTCTTTCAGGGAAGCTTTTGCCTTCCAAAAAAACAGGGATAAGATTAAAAACTTCACCCTGCAGCCCTGCCAGCAGCTTGCTGCCATCACTGTGCATTTACACAATCAAAATTCAATTAAAAGTGACTTTAATTGGCTCCCAGGGTTGCTGTAATTTGGGAAAGGGGACGTGCAGCACCCAAAAATGCAATTTAAGGGGGTTTAGTGGCTCTGGGTTGACTTGGGTGCTGCTCCCTGCAGGTTCTTGGAGAAAACAAGGCGGTTTGTCCAAAAATAGGCCAAGTTCCACATTATTTGAGGCTCTTTCCTACCCTCTAGTGATGAAAAAAAGGTATTTACCCAGGAAAGCAGTCACTGGGGTGGGATGGAAGCTCAGCCTGAGCCAGAACCAGGGCAAACCAACCCAAACTCAAGCTGCTAAAGGAAAGAGTCTCTGCGTGGGTGGGGGTTGGAGGGGACCAGCTCCATTTATAGCACCAAAAAGGTGATTTTTGCAAGGCAAAAGCTCCAAATCCTCACACATCCCATCATCAGGCCCTTCCTGCAGCCCCCAAGCAAACCCTTTGCTGCCCTCTGAACTCCTCAGCAGGATCATTTCCCACCTGTTCTCCCCCCAGAACGAATCCCTCTTGCCTTCAGTGAAAAGCCCTTTCCTTGCCCAGGGCTGTGAGGGGAAGGGCGAAATTTTGGCGAGGAAAAAAATGACAAATGGAGAATTATCACTATTTCAGTGGCCAGCATATTTTGCTGGTGTGAGAACCTCCCAATTCCACAAAGAACTTTCTCATTCCATGGGGTTTTTTAGGAGGTTTCCCCCAAACAAGCTCCTCACCGTTGCTCCGGGGGTAGGCAGCCACGGAGCCGTCCTGCAGTCCCGCGAACAGGAACTCGGGGCTGTGCCTCAGGCACAGGATGGGCTGCATTCCTGGGCTCCTGCAGCTCAGCAGGCACGGCGTCCCCGTGTCCACGCTCCCATAGACCAGGATGCTGGGGAGGGAAGGGGTGGCAGCTGCAGAGGCCGCGCTGTCCCTCGGGGCCGGGCGCTGGGCTGGCAGCGGGAGGGGGGGCTCACCTGCCGTCCTGCAGCCCCAGGCACACGGTGGGATGAGGGGCTGGGGGGGGCTGCTCGCCGGCTCGGGGTTCCTGGCAGCCCGGGGCATCCCCCTCCTCGGGCTCCGGGATGTATTCCATGCACAGCACCGGGGAGGCCACCGGGAAGGACTTGACGGTGCGCGGCACGGCGCGGTTCAGGGAGAAGATCTCCACCTGCCCCCCCGCGCCCTCCTGGCCACCCCCCACCTGGGGGGACACACAGCGGGGTCAACGCCCGCCACGACCCCACGGGGGGGCTGCTGGGGACACGATGCCCCAAAGCCAGGGGGTTTGGCCCCGTTTTGGGGGGTGGCTCACCCAGAGGTAGCCCTGCGGCAGCGACGTGCTGACGGCAGAGAAGCCCAGCAGGGAGGACTGCACGGGGTTGTGAACTGCGGCTCCGAGCTGGGGACACAGCAGGGCAGCGCCCCAAAATTAGCCCAGCACGGGCAGGACAGTGGCAGACACCCCAAAATCGGGGGTCCAGCCACAGCCCCGCTGGTATTTCCAGCATTCCAGAGGGGGCTGCACCAATTTCTGCCCTCGCAACCGACTCAGGACACCCCATCCACTGCGGGATTTCTGCCTTTCCCCCCCAAAAAGATGGAGGGAAAGGGGAGATGGAGAACCCAAATTACCCCAACACAGGCAGGATAGCAGCGGACACCCCGAAATTCGGGATCCAGCCACAGCCCTGCTGCTATTCCCAGCTTTCCAGGGTGGGCTGCACCATTCTGTGCCCTTGCCACCGACTTGGGACGCCCCATCTGGCCCCCCCACTGTGGGATCCCGGCCTTTCCTCCCCAGAATGAGGGATGGGAAGGGAAGGGGGGATGGAGAAGAGGTTGCTCATGGCTCTCACCTGCAGATCAAGGGCTTTGGAGGAGAAGGCTGGCATGTGGCAGGAGAGGATGGGGCACCAGAACGGGGCTTTGCTCTTCTTGTCTTCGTCGGGACAGAGCCAGCCCGGCTGGTTCTCCTCCCCTGCGGAAAGACAAGGAGCTCGAGGGTCACCAAGACCCCAAGAAGACCCCAGAATTTATAACTGGAGGTGCAGGGCTCTCACCTCCAACCCCAAACCACCATTACCCATGGATTTGGGATACACCTCACCCCGTGCTCCCAATTATTGCAGCGCACAGCCAAGGAACCACCTCCGGCAGCAGCAAAAAAGTCCCAAAAATCAGATATAGAAGAGCAAAAAACACCCCCGATGTGTTTCTTCACATCAGGCTTTAATGTGTTTTCATTTCTAACTCATGGATACAGGATTATCCCCCAGGATAAAAAAAAGGGAAAACAAAACAGAAACTGTTAAAAAACAAGAGACTCATAAATTATTCCAGCCCAGGGGGATCTAAGCACTCAAACAGAATTTTAAATTCTTTTTATTTTCTTCCGTTAAACTTATTTTTGCTGCTGCAGTGGCTGAGGGAGTTATAGAGGAATAGGGATTGGGAAGGGGCAGGAGGCTCCTCCCTTCCTCATTCATCCCGTTCCAAGGAAAATGGGTCAGCCCCGACACCGCTGCCATGAGAGCCGACAGAAATCCATCCTTTTGTGACTCCAGCCCAGAGATCCCACCCGAGAGCACCAAATCCCAAAGCATTTGGGGCCGGAACTCGCCATTCCCACCATTTCCAGCATGCAAATCTCCAAGATGTTCTCCATCACCTTACTCCCAAAGTTTCCCCCCACCCCGCCCTGTTTGGGTTGGGATGCTCCCAGCGATGCCAACCCCTCTCCGCTCCCAAGCCTGGCTTTTCCAAGGAATGCTGGTGACTCACTGAGGCCTATCTTGGCCAGGTGCAGGCGGTTCACCCAGGAGATCTTGCTCAGGGGGCTGGGGGTGATGAACACGACCATGACGCTGATGGGGCGGCCGGACCTGTGTGGGCACAGACCCCCAGGTGGGTCTTCGGCCCCTTGGGGTGCAAGGAGCCCCCAGGACCCCACACTCGTGGGAGGAGCCCCCAGGACCCCACACTCACTTGTCCGGCTTCCCGGGCAGCAGCAGCCGCAGGCGGCACTTGTTGGCAGAGTGGATCTCCTCCTCCTTCACCCTCACCATCCTCTGCAGTGCCAGGCACCAGTCCTGGGCCACCGTCATGTTCAGGTTCTGGGGGACAGTCACACATGGGGGAAGGGCCCCCAAAACCAGCCTGAACCACCCCCAAACTTCATCCGTGGGGCTCCAGAGGAGGCATCCCCAAGGTGTCCCCAGCGACCCCCAAAGAAGTGCCCAGAGATCCCAAAGAGATGCCCAGAGATCCCCCAGGAGGTGCCCAGAGATCCCAAAGAGGTGCCCAGAGATCCCAAAGAGGTGCCAAGGAGCCCCATGGTGCTGGGAGGTGCCCCAGGCTGGCTGTCCCCAGACCACACCCTGGCAGTGCTGGGACCACACAGGTACCTGGTAGGTGCCGTGCAAGGTGCTGATGAGGAGGGTGATCTGCTCCACCACTGCCAGGTCCTTCTGCAGGTCCTGCAGCTCCTGGAAGAGCCGTGGTGGCCCCAGGTAGACTTTGTCTGGGGAGCAAAAGGGGAGAATTGAGGTCCACAGAAGATCCCAGAATCAGTAAGGTTGGAAAAAACCTCCCAGACTGAGTCCAACCTTTGACCCAACACCACCATGTCAACCAGACCGTGGCACTGAGTGGTCCTTCCTTAAAGCCCTCCAGGGATGATGTTTCCACCACCCCCAGGGCAGACCATGGTGTGACTTCTCATGTGGAAAAATGGAGAACTGAGGTCCATGGAGGATCCCAGAGACAATTAGGTCAGAAAAGATCTCCAAGATCAAGTCCAACCTTTGACCCAACACCACCACAGCACTAAGGGCCACATCCAGTCCTTCTTTAAAGACCTCCAGGGACGGGGACTCCATCACCTCCCCGGGCAGCCCTGGTGTGAGGGAATGCTCCATCCCAGCCCCCCCAGCCCTCCCGGCCTGGGATCCCGGGATGTGCCCTCACTGTGCGAGGCCTGCCCGGCGGGCGCGTGTCTGCGGGCGCCGGCGTTGTGGATGACCACGTTGTCCTTGTCGTAGGCGCCGCCCTCCTGCCCCACCTCCACCACCTGCACCTGTGGGAGGGCTGTGCTCCACTTCAGCACGTATTTGGGCCCCAGGGGCACCAGGCTGCTGATTTCCAGTTGGCCTCTGCCGAGGGGAGAGGGAAAAATGGGTGTCAATGAACAGCAGGTGCCTCAGCTCGCCCCGAAACACGAGTCGTGCAAGCCAAGCCCCGTCTGTGAGCCCACCCCGTGCACCAGTCCATGCCTGAACCCCCAGCCTGGGGCACACAAGCACAGCAGACCATGGTTGGGACCTACCCTGCGTCCACCGGCCTGGAAAAGGGGAAAAAGGATTAATAAAGAAGTTTTAGGAGGAATTTAAGGAAGGTTTTCCCCTTGGCAGCATCAATCTCTACCAAGCCCTGAGGTTCCAGCATGTTCCCGGACCCTGCACTGACTCCAGCACCAAGGAATGCCAAGGCTTGGCATGAACAGTGCCAAGAATGGGGCAGAGAAACCCCAAACCAGGTGGGTTCCTCCCCAAAACAAGGCGAGGTGGCCTTTAAAGGTTCTGTCCCTCCTTGTGGTAGTTCCCCAAAAATCCCACCAAGCCAAACATTGAGGTGGGGACGGGGCGGGTTGGGTATATCAGCACTTCACTAAGTGATTTTGGGGTCTGGGGGGACCAGCACGTACTTGAAGTTGATGTTGGCACAGACCAACATGTCGTTGAGCAGGAAAACCTTCCTCTCCTTGGACTTGATGAGCTGCCCGCGGTCCCCGTACACCGTCTCCGTCAGCGTCTCACAGAGCAGGAGCTGCCTCTGCCCCGAGCTCAGCAGCTGCAAAGGGGATGGAGCGGGCAGGGGGCTCAGCCTGGGGGCTCCTGGAAGCCTCCTGACCCAAAATTTGGGTCAGTTTTCCATTATTTCAAGGATTTTCCTCCAGCTGGGCGCACGGACAGTCCCGAGTTCCGTGGAGCAGGACGGGTACCGCGCTCCGAGGCTGCACCCTCTCCACCCCACGTGTCCAAGCACCCTTCTCTCTTCATGCCCCGGATCCAAATCCTGATCCCAGTGCCGAGCCAGCGGCTGCCCCGCCGTGGTTTTTGCCATCCCCAGCCCAGGATGTGTCGCAAGAACTTGGGGTTCTTTTTTTAGACACAAACAGTTGCAAAATCAGGGGGATGAGACCCAGCAGCTCGTCCCGGAATTTCCCTGCGCCAACGCCAAGACTTGGTTTTGATTAAAGTCCTTTCAGGGACAGCAGGGATCTGGTTTCCTGAAACCCCTGACACCAAGAGGAAGGTGGAAGCTTCAAACCCCAACCACCAGCTCCAAAACACACCCATGGCTGAAGGACCCACCTTGTTGAGGCTGCTCCTGTCGCTGATGCTCTTGCTGAGCTGTTGGATCTCGGCCACTTGGTCGGCCAAGCGCTTCTGCTCGTTGAGCTTCTCCGCCAACGTCTCCAGCTCAGTGAGGGCCAGCTGGAGGGACAGACGGTCTGCGTGGCCCTTGGGGGTGTTCTTCAGCATGTCCTGGAGAAGAGAAAGGAGGGGAGGACGAAAACCACCCCGGAAAAATCAGCCCTGTTCGAAAGCACCTCCAAAATCAAAGCTTGGAAGACGGTCCTTGGGATGGTCCCCAAAGGTGCAACCAAGCTGCCAACCCTGAAACATGCCCCACACCAAAAAAGGGTGCAAAGACACGTCCCAGGGGTGCAAGCAAGGTGGGTGCAGGTACCTCCCTCCCATACCTGCAGGAGAAGGATGAACTGAGGGAACCTCTGGATGGGCTTCACCATCAGCCCATAGAGCGTGACCCGGTCAGCACTGGCCATCTGCCTCTTCTGTGGGGGGACAAAGGCCAGGAAAAAAGGAGTTTTCACCCCAAATGGTGCCCAGCAGCACCATGGGCCCACCTTTGGGTGGTGCTGACCTTGAGGAAGTCGAGGAAGGCGGGTTTGGTGAGACAGGCCTTCTTGATGAGGGACATGGCTGAGGTGAAGTTGTTGACGTAGTCGCTGTAGACGTCCAGCACCATGGACTTGGAGAACTGGGAGAGCACAGGAGACCCGGGATGGGGTGGGAGTCCCCCAGAAGTGGGGGGTTGGCATGTTTTTGGGGTGATGCTGAGGGTGCTGGTGGGACCCCAGGGCTGGAGCTGCGTCACTTAAATCCTCCCCCCACTCCCTGGTGTGGCTGGGAGGGCCGGGGGGGTTTGGTGGTGGCTGGGGCAGGTTCCACCCTGAGCAGGCCTGGAATCCGGGCAGGGAATGCAAACCCCACCAGCTCCCAGCCAGGGGGGCTGTGCTGAGCTCCTGCTGCTGCCAGGAGGGGTTTTGGGGTTGAGCTGTGTTAAAACCAGCCTGGTTCCCCAAACCCCAAACACATCCTGCTCTTGGCAGCAGGACTGGACAGATAAGCTGCTCTGTGCCCTGGAGATGTGTGACCAGCAGACTGTTCTACTATAAAAACCCAGGCCACTTTCACACAGGAGGTTTTCCAGTATAACCCTTCTTGGGGTGGTTGTGCGGAGATCCCTCCCTCGGGTGGGGACAATCCTCGAGGCTGAGAGAAAGAAATCTCCCCACAAACATTGGTCTAGGTGAGTTACATCAAACCTCTACTTGATAATTACTTCTTTTCGCTTTAATATAATTGCTCCAATAATTGCTTTACTATCATGCTCTATCCTATCCTACATTAGTAGATTTAGCTTTTGTATTGTGCAGTAAATAATTCTGATCGAGATATTTTGTCTGATCGTTTGCAATAATAAATAATTCATTTTACGTAAATATCCTCAGTTTGCCAGAGTGAAAACCTGCAGGACAGAAGTGGTTCAATTCCCCCCTCTCTAACTGCTCACATTTAAACTGGTGACACAATCTGAGGCTAAGATGGGATCCAGCTTCATCCCCTCGGAGAAGGAGCTGAGGAAGCCGGGGGGGCCTTTCTGCACCTTGGGACTCCAGGGCAGGGCTTCTTAAATCACCTGGTCCAAGCCTTCCACTCCCACCCACAACAGTGGGGGGATTTCTCCTGGATTTCACAGAATCACTGAGTTTGGAAAGACCTCTGAGACCATCGAGTCCAACCTGTGACCCAAGCCCGCCTTGTCCCCCAGACCATGGCACCGAGTGCCACGTCCAGGCTCATCCTGAACCCCTGCAGGGACGGGGACTCCACGGTCCCAGCCCCTCCCTGGGCAGCCCCTCCCGAGGCCCCACCAATCCTTCTGGGAAGAGCCTCCTCCTCCACCGCCTCCTACCGAGGCCACGAAGAGGTCCCCGATCTTCTCGGCCGAGTCCCACTCGGCCACGCGGGAGGCGAGGGCGATCTGGAACATGGAGTGGCACTGCAGGATCTCCTTCAGCCGGAAAAACACCACCTGGCACTTCCTGGCACTCAGCACCTTCGGCTCCATCTCCAGCAGCGGGTTCCTGTAATCCTGTGGGAGCGCCGGAGCGTCAGCGCCCCGGGATCCATGGAGACACCCCCGAGGAGCCCGAGCGGGGATCCCACCTGCAGGATCCGCTTCAGGGAGTCCACGTAGCTCCGCTCGCTCTGCACGATGGAGCCCAGGATGTGCCGCCGCACCACCTGTGGGACAGGGAATCGGTCAGGATGCCCCAAACCCCAAATGGGGGGATGGGAGGAGCTCAGCCATGGTCCCAAATGGTGGGACAGGAGGAGCTCAACCATGGTCCCAAACCCCAAATGGTGGGACAGGAGGAGCTCAACCATGGTCCCAAACCCCAAATACTGGGATGGGGGGCTCGGTTGTGGTCCCAAACCTCAAATACTGGGATGGTCCCAAACCCAAATATTGGGATGGGGGGGTCAGCCATGGTCCCAAACCCCAAACACTGGGATGGTCTCAAACCCCAAACACTGGGATGGTCCCAAACCCAAATACTGGGATGGTGGGGTCAGCCGTGGTCCCAAACCCCCAATCCCAAACCCCAAACACTGGGATGGCCCCAAACCCCAAATGCTGGGATGGTCCCAAACCCAAATACCAGGATGGTCCCAAACCCCAAACACTGGGATGAGGGGCTCAGCCATGATCCCCCCACCCCAAAGCCCGGGATGGGGGAGGTGCAGGCCTGAGCAGAAGTGCTGACACAGCATCACTTGGTGCTGCCTCACCCTGTCCCTGGTTCCTCAGTCACGGGACCAGGGAGGGCCAATTCCCCCCAAATCCCCCAAACCCATCCCACCCCACCTGCTGCGGGCTCAGCCCCTCGGGCATGGGGCCCAGCTCCGGCGGCGGGTGCTTCATGTCCGAGACCGTGACCTCCAGGAACCCCGTGTCCTCCTCCTCCGAGTCCCCTGCAGGGAAAAAACACCCCACAAAATGCCAAAAAAACCCTGATTTTAAAGTTTTGGGGGTCTGGAGCTCCATCGGCTCCGTGGCAGGGGGTATGTTTGGGTTTGGAGCCGAATCCCAGCGTCCTCCCTGAGCTCACCCACAGTCACCAGACACCAGGATGAGCCAGGCTGGGAGCAGGGAGAGGACAAGGAGAGTCCCCATTCCCAAAAACCCCCCCTGGCTGGGGGAAAAGCCCCCTTGTCCTCTCTCCAGGGGCAGGCGGAGCAAGGAAAATGGGGAATAAGAAGCCATAGGCAGCAGGCAGAGAAAACCAGGGAAGGGGAAGGCACGGGGATCCCTCACCCGAGGCTGAAGCAGCAGAGGAGGAGGAGGGCGAGCGAGCCAAGGAGGCATCCCGAGGGAAGCACGGCCGCCGCTTCCACATGGCCCCTCCGCCCCGGGCCCATCCCGGCAGATATAAATAGCCGGGAAGGGGGAGGACCGGCCGGGCTGAAGGGGAGGGCGTTGGCAGCCGGGTGATTATTTTCCTTCCCTAATTTTGGCCGGGACAAATCGCCGCCCTCGGCTCGTCAGCTCCACCTTCTCCCCATCCCCACGTGCCAGGGATGCTCCCGGGGGACGGGAATCCCTCCAGCTCCTCCCAGAAGCATCGAAGCCCCACCCCAGCGAGGCAAAGGCACGTTGGGGACACGCAGCCGGGCGGGACACACACGCGGGATCCCCCGGGAAGCTCCGGCGGGAGCCGCCCCTCGGGATCGTACCTCCCCCGTGCTGCTCCAGGGACACCCGCGAGCTCCGGCGGGAAGGCGGCGGCTTTCCCGCCTCCTCCGCCCGCCTCCTCCGCTCCCCATCCCCTACGTGACAGCAGGAAAGTCAGGAAAACCCCCCCAAACTCGGCGTTCCCGGGAAGATCCTGCTCTGTGCCCAAGGACACCCACGGGCGCTCCCGAAGGGATACGGAGCCAGGAGGAGCCGAAGGGACTGAGCTTGCACAGGGATGCAAAGAGTGGAAAACAGTCAAAGAAAAGATTAAAATGCAAAAAAATAAATGGGAAATAAAGGAAATGCTGAAAGGGATGGGGGTTCCTAGTGATTATTTTTAAAAATACCCTCAAAAAAGGCTTTTTTGGCACTGGAAAGGGAAGGGGGGGGTTGCTTTTCCCGCTCACCTGGGGTTTCTTTCCGGTGCAGGAACGTCACCTTCCTCATCACCGCGATCTTGGTCTTCTCCAAACCGTCCTTGGTGCCGCTTTTGGCCGCTTTCATCAGCTGGGTCATCTGGGGAGGGGGAGGAGAGGGATCGGGAGGCTCAGGCAGCACCGGGATCCCATCTCGGATCCGGACGGAGCCGTGTCCTTCCCTTGGGCATCATCCCCCACTCCGGATCCGGATGCACTGTCCCCTCGGGCATCATCCCCATTTTCCCATGCAGCAGGAAGAAGAGGCACATATCCAAGGCCCATGGATGCTCCGTCCTGTGCCCCATCCATAGGGATGTGGCCACGTGCAAGCAGGCGCCGGCAAAGCGGGATCATGCAGCCAAGCGAAGCAGAGGGAGGGAAGGGAGGCAGGAGCACATCCATCCCCTCCTTGTGCAGGGATTTCATGTGGGGGACAGCAAAGGGAGGGAAGTGTCGGCCTTTCACACCTCAAATCACAGCGTTTCAGCCCAAACTTCCAGCCAGGAAATACCTGGATGGTCTGGGGCTGGGAAAGGCTTTGCACTAAGGTTCTCCCAAAAATCTCCTTCCCCACCCGATTTCCACCACAGATCAGGGGAAAAAAAAACCTTGTCAGATCCATCTATCCCGTGGGAAACCCGGCGCCGTCCGAACGCCCCTTAAAAACAAGGAAACACCCCAAAATCCAACGGTTGGGGAAGCTGGAGGACGGGGAGCTGCAAGACAGATGGACATGAGAGGCAGCTTTGAGGTGCTTCACTGAATTTGTTCCTCTTTTTGGGGGGATGAAATGGGATGAATTCAGCCTGGATAAATTCCATGAGGTTTTTTGACTCCCCCTGGGAAATTTGGGGGAGAAGGGAGGAGGGATGGAGGAGGGACAGTACCTTCCAATCGTACTTCTGCTTCAGCTCCTGCATGTCCTTCCCCCCAACTCTTAAAGCCAGGATGTCCCTCTTAGTCCTGGCGTATCTCTCCTTTAGTCTATTCAGGTCTGGAGAAAGCTGAGCTCAAGCAAACCAGGCGGGAGGAGGAGGAGGAGGAGGCAGAGAAGAGATCCAGGTGAGCAGCAAAAACCAAACAAAGAGCAGAAATCCCCCAAGAGCAGCACGGCCCAGGCAGCACCATCCCAAAAGCCTGGCTAGGCTGGAGTGGGGCAGGGAGCGAGCGCAGGGCAAAGCAGCAGCCAGGCTCCAGCAGGGCCCAAATGCAGAAGGAAAAGGGGAAAAACTGAAAAAGGGAAGGAAGGAGAACAGAAAGAAATGAACCCCCCGGAGTTGGGGGCCGAGCCACAGCATCCTTCACGTCACCAGCCACGGGAGCAGCTGGGCTTGGTGCTCCACTGCCTTTGGACAAGCAAACCCAGGGAAAAACAAGAATAATGGTCCTAAAGGTGTGATCCAAGGGTTACCTTGGGCTGGAAGGACGCTCGGTGCTTGGTGGGCTCAGCTTTGGTTTCCTCCCCCGAGTCCTCGCTGTAACTCTCGAACTCGCTGGAGCTCCAGCCCAAATCCTCGCTGATCCGGGAGCCCTCTCCCCGCTGCACCTCCTCGTAGATCAGGCTCCGCTCCCTCCCTGCTCCTGCCAAGGAAAATCCGGCTCCTTTTCCTTACAGGAAGGCAAATTCCCTTCCTCAGGGACCCACAGGAGACACACCAAACCCTCGCATCTCCCTCCCAATCCCACTGGTTTTCCCACAGTCATCCCGCTCCACATCCTCTTTGAGGATGGCTTTCTCCTTCCCTGAGTTTATCCAGAGCTGGAAAACGGGCTCCTAGTCCTTGGGAAAGGGAGGGGGAAGGTCTATCCCTACCATCCTGCTCGGCATCCAGGCTTTCGCAGGGAACGTCGTCGTAGATCACGTCGTCCTCCACCTCCGGGAAGGAAAACCGCTCACCTTTGGGGGACAAACCCCCCCGGGACCTGCTCAGCACCCAGGCTGGAGAAACCCTTCCCAAGCCTCGGCAGGGGGTTTGTCCCAGCGTTTGGACCTACCTCGGCAGATGCTCTCCCGCTTCCAGGTCTGGGTGCGGATGGGGGGGTCTCCCCCGGCCTCCCCATTGCTCATCCTCACCGGGGCCCTGTGGGGAAGGGGGTCAGGGAGCATCCCAGGCTGCAAATCCCTTGGGATTGGGTACAAATCCATCCCTTGGGATTGGGTGTAAATCCCTTGGGATTGGGTGCAGCCAAGCCCCTCCCCACCCCTGTTCCCATTCCAGGGGTTCACAGGCCCAAAATAAAGCTTGTCCCCCCTCCCCCCATCTCCTTCTTCATGGATTTGGGGGTCCCAGGTCTCAGGGTCACACCAGAGGGTCCCGATGACCACTCAGAGAAAATGCAAAACACCCAAAACTGGCTTTTTTAGCCTCAGTCCATGTGCTGCTGCAGGGCAGGGGATGTGCCAGCACTGGGGAGCACAGGGAGAGGGTCCCCCCCATTCCTGGTAGGGTCCTGTCCCTTTCCCCACACCCTGTTCCTGCTCTGCCGGGGGGACAAGCCCTCCCTGCAGCCAAATTTCCAGCTTTTCCCCCCAAATCCACAGCCGAGGAGGAAACCAGCCCCTTCAAACACCATCCCAAGGGGTTTCTCCCCCATCTCCTCCAGTTGGGGGCTGGAGGAAGCCCCCACCACCCAAAAGCCTCACAGGTCCCCAGGGCTGGGGGGCTGGACCCCAAAATCCCGGGGATCCCTCCCCTTGCAATGGGGAGAAGTTGGGGAAACTGAGGCTCAGCACCAGGCCGGGCCAGCAAACAGGGGGGACAGACCCTAAAGATCCTTCAGGGAACTCAAACCCACCCCCCAAGGGCTGCAGGTGCACGTCAAAACCCCGGGGCTCCCCTGCCTGCAGCCCCTCTGGCAGGGAAGGGGAGAGGTCAGGGCAGTTGAGGCTCAGCCCCAGGCCCAGTGCTGTGGTCTCACACTTCCTGGTGAATTTTCCACCCCAACAGCCTCTGCTGGGACAAAACATCCCTTGCTGGGACAAGACAAACATCAGGCTTCCCTGTTTTTCTAGCTCGGGCCTGAATGACTGTCCTGGGGAAAAACAGCTCATGGTTCTCTCTGCAAAGGTGGGGCTCCCCGGGCGAGGATCTGAACTGGGCACAGAACGGCTCATGTGGCCAAAACAGGGCACCAGGCCGGGGGGGAAAGGGGGATATCTCTGGAAAAGAACAGGAGTGAGGGGAGTTAAACCTGCCTGACCCTGCCAGCTGGGCACGGGTCAGGAGAGCTTGGGGACAGTTCTGGGAGAGGGAGAGCCCTGGGACAGCTCGGGGACAGGGGACAGCTCAGGGACAGGGGACAGCTCAGGGACAGGGAGAGCTCTAGGACATGGGAATTCTGGGACAGGGGAGCTCTGGGACAGGGAGAGCTCTGGAACATAGGAGAGCTCTGGGACATAGGAGAGCTCTGGGACAGGGCACAGCTCGGGGACACAGCCTGCCTGTGCCCCACCTCTGCCCACCCCCCCCTTCCCCGCTGGCTCTTTGCCCCCTGCCTGCTCCTGCTGCTCCTGCTGCCCACGGGCCCCCCTTCCCCAGCCCAGGGGCCCAGAGCCGAGCCAGGATTGCATCCACAGCTGGAGCGGAGGGGAATTCCCTTTGGAAAGAGTGGGAGACCTGTTTGCCCCCAGAGCAGGGGGCAGCTCCCTCTGCGCCCTGTGGGAGCCCTGTTTGCCAGGAGGGAGCTCCCTTTGTGCCATGTTTGGAGCCCTGTTTGCCAGGAGGGAGCTCCCTCGGTGCCCCGTGGGAGATGCCCTGGAATTTGTAAGATTTGTGTTAAATCCGGGTTTTTAGTGTGCCCATCAAGTTCCCTCCTGCCTCAGAACAGCAGCTGGCAGCCACCAAACCCCGTTCTCACACTTCATATCAAACTTTCTAAACTCTGCAGGTTTTGTTTAACGTTCTTCTCAAGGGAAGGGACTCGAGCAAGCACATCTTGTTTGGGACAGGTGCCCCTGGACCAGAAAAATCAGATATCCCTGCAGCCAAAGCAAGCTGGCAGGCCCATGAACCTCGGCAGAGCTCCACAGACAAGGCTGTGAGGAGGAGGGAGATGAGGAAGAAGGGGGGTCTTGAGACCTCCGATTCAACTCCCGGGAGGCCGTGCCAGGAGGGAGGATCCGGGGGTGGACAGTTCTCAGATTGGGTGGATTAGAACTAGAAAATGGGAAAATCCGGGTAAAACCTCGGGACACTCGTGTGCACCTCGAGGCCTTCACTAAAGAGCTGCTCTCTGGCTGATCTACACCGATGCTGTTTGGAGAATTTCCTGCCATTTTCGGCATCCCGGGGAGCCCTGTTTGCCAGGGAAATCCCTTTGTGCCGCCGCAGCCCCCGGGAACAGCCCCCTGCTGTCCGCGGCTGTAACTGCGCCGAGGCAGAAACTCAGAAATTCAGAAAACACGGAATTGTGGAGGGGAAAGCTTCAGTTACAGTGTTGTAGCTCGGTCTGTTTTGTTATGTGTGTGTATATATATATATACATATATATATACACACATCTCTATATACATATATATACATCATCATCATCATCATGGCTAGGCTTCGCGAACGAAGATTTGGGAAGGCTCTATCCACATTTGCTGCAGGCACGCTGGTGGCTTATGAGGCCAATACGTGACAGACAAATCCGATTGCAAAAGGCACAGCAGAAAGACTCCTTAGATGGTGTATTCTGCAATACACGGTTCTTTCTGCGTTGCCTTTTTTCCTCGAGGGTGATCCTGCGTGTGTTCTCAAAGGAGACAGCTGCGTTATAGATGGTGTGTCTCCAGGCCTCCCGATTTGAGGCCAGAGTAGACCAGTCTCACTCCATGAGGATCAGCATGGCCAAGTCAGATATGGCAATGCACTTTCTGAGCCCTTTTTAATTAAGAATGGTGTGAAACAAGGCTGCGTTCTCGCTCCTACCCTATTCACAGTCTTCTTTAGCATGATGCTCCAAAGGGCCACAGCAGACCTCGATGATCAGGACGGGATCTACATTCGACACTGTACTGATGGAAGTCTATTCAATCTAAGGCGACTGAAGGCCCACACTAAGACCCTAAACCATCTTGTCCGGGAGCTGCTTTATGCTGATGACGCCGCCCTTGTTGCCCACACAGAAGCAGCTCTGCAGTGTTTAACATCCTGCTTTGCAAACGCTGCTGAGCTCTTTGGGCTGGAGGTCAGCTTAAAGAAGACAGAGGTCCTCCATCAGCCTGCACCTCACATATATATACACACACACATATATATACACACATATATGTGTATGTACATTAGTAAAACGCTATTACTTTCTTTTCCACACCTTTTCACCTGAAGCCTCCTAATTTTGAAGTTATAATAACTCAGAAGGAGGAGTTTGGTTTTTTCTATCCTGCCCTCCCTCAGCAAACGTTTTGTTTTGTTACATGGAGACACTGGGACATCAAACAGCGGGGACAGACCCCAGAAATCCTTCTGGGTACTCAAAACCACATCAACCCCCCCCCAAGCTCCCCCCAAAACCCCACCAAAGCCCTCACAGATCCCCAGGGCTGGGGGCTGCACCCCAAATTCCCAGGGATACCTGCCCTTGCAATGGGGAGAAGTCAGGGAAACTGAGGCACAGCACCAAGCTGAGACATCAGACAGAGGGGACAGACCCCAAAGATCCTTCAGGGGACTCAAAACTGCACCAAAACCCTCCCAAATCCCCCCAATCCCCCACCAAATCCCCCTGATCCCCCACCAAATCCCCCCAGTCCCCCACCAAATCCCCCCAGTCCCCCACCAAATCCCCCCAGTCCCCTGCCAAACCCCACCAAAACCCCACTTACCCTTCTGGGGTCTCCGGCACCAGTCCCTCTGTGGAGAGGAAAAGCAAAGAGAGGCTGTGTTGGCACCCACAGGGGACATCAGGGACAACGTGGGGACATCAGGGACACGGTGGGAATGTCAGGAATTGCGCTCTCACCCCCCTCGGAGCTGGTCCCACGCCGCCGGCGCGGGGGGGCCCGGAGAACAACGGCCCCGCCGGGATGGGCCGCGGGATCCTCCTCCTCCTCCTCCTCCTCCTCTTCCTCCTCCTCACTGTCCTCGAAGGCAAAGGCTTCACCCACGTCCTCCCCCCCTGCGGGCACCGCGCCCGCCGGCTCCGGGGGCACCGCGGCTCCTGCAGCGGGGACACGGCACCGGGATGGAGGGAAAGGGGGGAAAGGGGAGATGGAGGGAAAGAGGGGGATGGAGGGAAAAGGAGAAGGGGGAGATAGAGGAGAAGGACAAGGAGGGATGGAATGGGGGGAGGGATGGGTGGAGAAGGGGGGGAAAGGATGGAGGGGGAGACAATGTCACTCCGGGTCCCCCAGAAAGGAGGGGATGGAGAAGGGGGGGAAGGAGGAGCAGGGGGGATGGAGGAGAGGGGAGATGGAGGAGAGGGGAGATGGATGCAGAAGGAGGGGATGGATGCAGAAGGGGGGCACACGGTGTCACTCAGGGTCACGCTCAGGAAGGAGAAGATGGAGAGGGAGGTGATGGAAAAGAGGGGAGATGGAGGAGAAGGGGGACATGGATGGATGGATGGATGGAGGGATGGATGGATGGATGGAGAAGGCGGGGAAAGGATGGAGGAGACAATGTCACTCTGGGTCCCCCAGCAAGGAGGGGATGGAGAAGGGGAGCAGATGGAGGAGAGGGGGGATGGATGGAGAAGTGAGGGAAGGATGGAGAATGGGGGGATCCAGTGTCACTCAGGGTCCCCCAGGAACAGGGAGATGAAGAGGGAGGTGATGGAAAAGGTGGGATTCACTCAGGATACGCCAGCAAGGGGTGGAGGGAGGAGGGAAGATGGGGATGGAGAAGGGGGGGTGGAGAAGGGAGTCATCACCCCCCCAGAACTGCAAGATCCAACAGCCCTGAGTGTTTTCACCATTCCAAGAGGCTCCAGTTGGGATATGCAGGACAAACCCCCCTTTCTGCCCAAGCATAGGGGTCCTCCTCCCAAAAAAAACAGGAATGGAAAAGGGATGGAGGAGGGATGGAAGAAAGAGCATCACCCCACAGAACTGCAAGATCCAACAGCCCTGAGCGTTCTCAGAATTCCAAGAGGCTCCAGCTGGGATATGCAGGACACCCCCCCCTTTCTTCCCCAGGATAGGGGTCCCCTTCCCAAAGGTCCCAGCTCCAGAGGGGTGACAGTACCTACTGCAGGCTGGGGGGGCAGCTCAGACGAGGCCATGGCGAGGGGGCTCCGGATGCTCCGCCCAGGCCCTTCCCCAACTTTCTCCTGCGGGAGAGAAGGAAAAATGGGTTGAAAAGGAAGCTCAGCCCCCCAGATCCATCCCTGGGAGCCTCCAGGTGTGAGGGATCCAGCTCCAGCTGCTGCAAAACCTCACAAGGAAGCAGGAGCTGCTCCCAGGGCTTGGTTGGCGTGGAACATTTATCCCATGGATAGCAAATCCTGCAGGATTGAAGGTCTCGGGGGCGGGAAGCGCCAAGGAGCCTCCCTGGGATCGATGGCTCATCCGCTCCCGAAACCAGAGACGCCCTGGAAGGTCACCAGGAGGAGGAGGAAGGTCAGAGCAGGGACCCCCATTCCCAAGGGATGATGGAGTGGAACAAAACATCACCTGAGAGGTTGGAAAGGGGAAAATGGGGCCAAATCCGGGGAATTTGGTCCTGCTGGAAGCAGGATGTCCAACGGATGCTGCCTCCCTGCTCCAAAGAGTCATGACCCCCCCAAGAGATGGTTTCTCCCCCATTTTCCCTGGGAAATGCTGGATAAGGGGAGGCCCAAAGCCAGGGGCGATCCCAAAACAAAGGAGCTGTTGATTTAATCTATTTATTTAAGATGATTTAAGATCTGTTTATTTAGGATTTGTTTATTCCCCCCAGACCAAAATCCCTTGGAGCTGCAGCACAGGGTGGGAGGAACTGCCCCAGGTGGGACAAACAGCTCCAGGGCCACAGAGAGACAGGAAAACGTATCAAATAATCCTAAAATTTCATGATAATGATGATAATGATAATAGTGATAATAATATAAATGCAGAGCTGGAATTGCTCCAGGTTTGGGTTTTCATGGAGCTCCAGGGCCACAGAGAGATATAAAAATATATAAAATAATACCAAATTATCTTTATAATAGTGGTAATTATAGTAATGATGATAATAATTATAGAAATGGTAATAAATATGAATGCAGAGCTGCAATTGCTCCAGGTTTGGGTTTTCACGGAGCTCCAGGGCCACTGAGAGAGATCAAAATATAGAAATAATGACAATTATTGGAAGAATTATAATAGAAACACATATCTGTGTGTCTGGAGCTGACCAGGAGGGTGCTGAGGTCTGGGATCACCTCCCAGATTCCCATTTCCTGCTGGAAAATGCACTCTAAACCCCTGGCAGGTGCCCGAGCTGAGGGTGTGACCCCCCAGATTCCCAGTGCTCAGCAATCCCAACCCCATCCTGATCCAAACCCCACCAAAAGACGGAGCCAAATCCCAACTGACCCTTTTCCAGCCATAAAAAATAGGAATAAATCCCTTTTTCCCCTCCCTGACCCACCACAAGAACTTTTTCAGCCACTTTTCCAACAAGCCCCTTGTCTCTGTAAACACGTTAACTGGAATTTATTTGGGAGAGGGACCCAGGGATGGTTTGTTTTCCTCCTGGAATTGTTTTCCTGGTGCTCAGAACAGCTCCCACATCACCCAACTGCTTCCCACCAGCCTGGGAGCAGGATATTGCCAGCTTTCCCCCTTTTCCAAGCTCCAGGTTTTATCCCTCTGGACATGGCACCACCCGAGCCATGGATCCAGAGGGAAGCAGGAGCTGCCACGGAGCTGAGGAGCACAGGGAAAAAAACATCCCTTATTTCTGCAGGAAAAATAAGCAAAGCAAGTTTGGAATCCTTAATCCTTGGGAAAAATAACCCCGGGAAAGAGCTGCTGCCGGATTCATCCCGACCCCAGTTTCCTTACTGGTTTGATCTGTCCTTCCAGCAATCCGTCGGCTTCCCCGTGGGATGAGGGCAGTGGGGGCGGATCTGCTGCGGCTCCATCCCAAATTTATCCGGCCGGGCGGGAAAAGGTCACTTCCCATTTTGCCAGTTGACATAAGCTCCCATCCCAAAGCCCGATTTATCCCAAGGCTGGTTGGTTCTTTTTCCAGCTCCCAGGACTCCAAAACAACCCTTGGATTGGGTTTGAAAGGTCATTTTGCATCATTTTCCATGAAAAAGGAACATCCCGGGAGCAAAATGCATCCCAGGGGATGAGGGGAAAGCAAGTGGGGATGAGCTGCCCTGCCAGGGAGATCCCTCAGAATAAACCGGGAGCGGAAAAATGGGAAGCAGGACAATCCAAGGAGGGCCTGGGGATGTGAGAGGATCCCAGAAGGACGCCGGGATGCAACATCATCCTTGGAAGTCTAGATTTCAAGGGGCTGCTGGGGCCTCTCCGTGGGAAGGAGCATCCTGGGGGCGGCAGCTCCGGCTCCTTCCCACCCGGAGCGGGGAGGGAAAATAAATCAAGACAGGCCTAAATAAACAGAGCTGGGCCTAAATAAGTCGAGCTGGGCCTAAATAAATCGAGCCGGGCCTGAATAAATTGAGCCGGGCCTGAATAAATTGAGCCGGGCCTAAATAAATCGAGCCGGGCCTAAATAAATCAAGCCGGGCCTAAATAAATCAAGCCGGGCCTAAATAAATCGAGCCGGGCCTAAATAAATCGAGCCGGGCCTAAATAAATTGAGCTGGGCCTAAATAAATCGAGCCGGGCCTAAATAAAGGCAGAAGAGCAGGACCATGTGCTGGGCCCCATCCTGATCCCGGGACTCAGGGGGATATTTTTAGCCGGGGCCATGGAGCGACAGGGCCCAGCTGGTGGGAACAGGGCCCAGCTTCGGGAAGGATCCCAGATCCAGGATCTCCCTTCCCAGGGCTCTCCCATCCCCCCCCGGAGGGCTTTGGGAAGCCAGGGAGGAACACTGGACGATATTCCACCAGGATTTGCCCTGGGAATCTGCCCCTCTGCCCATCCCACCGCGCTCATCCCGCGGGATAAATAACCTGGAGTTATTTATAAGGGATGGGGGTGGGGAGGAATCCAAATTAGCTCTTCTCTCCCAAGGTTCTCCCCCTTTTCCACATTAATTCCTGCAGGTCACATCCCACATTAATTCCCACATCCCAGGGGGATTTTCCACCATGACCTTGATAAAAATTGATATAAAAATTGACTAAAATTTGATAAAAATTGAATTAATTCAGGTTTTTTCCACTCCCTGGGATGGGAGGAGTCCCCAGAGGAGGAAAACAGGGGTGTTTTCACCCCTAACTCCCAATCTTTTAAAATAATAAGTAAAATATTATTAAAAAAAAAAGTTAAAAATGGAAAAGAGGAAATTAAATTTAGAAAGTTAAAAAATAAAGAACAAAATGAGAAAAATTAAATGGAGAAATAAATGGGAAAGTAAAAATTAAATTGGAAAATAAAGATTAAACCGGAAAACAAAGTCTAAATGGGAAAACAAAGTCTAAATGGGAAAACAAAGTCTAAATGGGAAAACAAAGTCTAAATGGGAAAACAAAGTCTAAATGGGAAAACAAAGTCTAAATGGGAAAACAAAGTCTAAATGGGAAAACAAAGTCTAAATGGGAAAACAAAGTCTAAATGGGAAAACAAAGTCTAAATGGGAAAACAAAGTCTAAATGGGAAAACAAAGTCTAAATGGGAAAACAAAGTCTAAATGGGAAAACAAAGTCTAAATGGGAAAACAAAGTCTAAATGGGAAAACAAAGTCTAAATGGGAAAACAAAGTCTAAATGGGAAAACAAAGTCTAAATGGGAAAACAAAGTCTAAATGGGAAAACAAAGTTTAAATGGGAAACAGAATTTACATTTAAAAATAAGATATAGGTTGGGGGAAAAATTTACATTGAAAAATAAAATTTGCATTGAAAACTAATTTTAAAATCAAAATCACTCAAACATTAAAATAACCTCAAGTAATTTAAACAATAAAAAAAAATCATTTATGACGAAATAACTCAAAGACAAAAACAACTCTGAAATGAAAAATCATTTTCAAATTAAAAACCAGTTAAAAATGAACAAAAGTAACTTTAAAAAGCAGCAAATATTTACAGCAAAGGAAGCTTTTTCATCCCCAATGAGATTTCGGGGCCAAAGGTTTTATTTCCCAGTTTTCCAAGGAATAAACTGGGCAGGTTTGAGGGTGTCAGTGAGAGCTCCAGTGGGGAAAAATTACCCAGGGTCCTCAAAAATCCCCTGGATCAGGAGTTGGGATGTGGTTGGGATTGAGGAAGGTGGGAACAAGGGGCAGCCCCAGGAGCAGTGGGAATGAAACAACAGCAAAACCATGGGGGGGGGGGGGGCTAAAAAAAAAGGCACAAAATATGGAATTTCTTCCTCAAAATCCAAAAAAAAAAAAAAAAAAAAAAAAAAGAAAAAGGTTTTTCCCAGAAAAAGCTGCCAAAGGAAGAGTTTGTCCCCGAAAAAATTCCATCAAAATTCAAAATCCAGGGCAGTTTTGGGAGTAGATTTTCAATAAACTCCTGGAAAGGTGTCAACTTATAGAAAAAGCTTTTTTCCCTGTTTTCCCTTGAAGTGGCTTTTCCAGGCAAATATCCCACAAATATTCCAGCTCACAATCCCATGACCTGGAAAAGTGCCATTGTTTTCCTTTGCTTTGCATTTTCAAAGCCACCGATGAGCTGGAAAAAATCCATCCCTGGTCCAGCTCATGCCATGAGAAACAGGGATAAAAGGAAAACTAGGGAAAAGTCAGGAACAATCACATTTATAGCCCTTAAATAGGAAAAATTAAAGTCCTTTCTACAAAGATTTCTCGCAGAGAGACCTCAAAAATCCAGGAAAAAAGCCATTTATTGCCGAAAGACTCCCTAATTCCATGTTTATCCCAATCCCCACTTTACAAAGTTCATCCCCTGCAAAACTACCCCGGGAAGGAATTTGAAAGGAGAAGAATTTGAATCAGAAATACCAATAAAAAAGCCAAAAAAAAAGATATAATGGATGTTTTTTCCCCCATTATTGTTTCCAGCTCAAAATTCCCAATAATTTGGAGTTTGCTTTATTGCAAAGCTCCACATTAAAACCTCTCCCACCCTTTGGAAGTGTTTTTTCCTCCTGCCAGTGCTCTGGGGTCACTTTATTTCACCCCCAAATCACTTTACATTGCCCCAAACCCAGCTTATTTTGCCCCCAAATCACCTTATTTTGCATAAAATCACTTTATTTTGTACAAAATCACCTTATTTTGCCCCAAACCCACCTTATTTTGCATAAAATCGCCTTATTTTGCAAAAAAAAAATCACCTTATTTTGCCCAAACCCCACATTATTTTGCCAAAAAATCACCTTTTTCTGCCGAAAACCCACCTGACTTTGCCCAAAAATCAGCATCAGGTGATGGCACCAATGGATTTGAGCTCATCCTTCCCCAATATCCCTAATTTTTCTCCTTGTTTTCCAAACACCTATTCAAGCACTTGATAAAATATTGGGATTTTTACCCTAAAAAGACATTTCCTGTATATTTTTCCGGGTATTTAGGGGAAAAACCTGCTCTTTGCAACTGTTTTGTTCCCCTAAGACACAATTAATTAATTAAAAAATAAATCAAAGCAGTGCAAAAGGTGGGAAAAAATATTCCAGCCCCTTCCCAACTTGCACCTCAACGCAACCAATATCCCAAAAAATCGCCATAATAGGGATAAATGCCATTATTTCCTGCCAAAATTATCCCAGAGGACGCTCCCACTTCTCTAAAACTCAGTTTTCCCACAGGTGCTGCAATTCCCAGCTGGGAAAACACGGGAGGGATTCACGAGCTGGGAAAAAAACGGGACGAGAAAAGGGCAGGAACGGGGGTGGGATGAGGTGGGTGGGTATTCCTGGGGATTTCCCTCCCCCATTCCTTGTTTTCCCTTATCTGTACAGAATGAACCCAAACTCCCGGGAATTTTCGGAGGATAATAAGGGCGGGGATGGCCGGAGGCTGCGGGAAGCGAAGGGTGTCCTCCCGCCGCGGGATTCTGGGATAACCTAGGGATTTCTACACGGATATCCAGAGATTCCTGGCTGGATCCACGGAGCTGGGGGGGCGAGCAGAAGGGAAAACGGGAATTTGCTGACCTGGGAAGGCCGCGGCTCCTCCGCCTTTGTATCCACATCCGAGCAGGGAGGGAATTCCCGGGAGAACCCCCCTGGCCGGCGAGGGTCGCTCCCGAGGCGCCCCTGGGTGGGATGCCCGGGGCGGGGGCTCCCCCCGGGCCCCGCCGGACCCCCGCGATTCCCAAATCCCGGCGTCGGAGCCCGGCTGGAGCTCGGCCCGGCGCTCCAGCGGCTGGAGCGAGGGATGCCGGGATTTTGGGCAGCATCTCCCCCTCCTTCTCCTCCTCCTCCTCCTCCTGCTGCTGCTCTTCTTCCCGGGCAGCGCTTCCCAAATCCCGCTAAACCGGGATTGATCGCCTCCGCCTGGAGCATCCCGTTAACCCCCTCGCTTCCAGTGAGGGAAAAACAAGGAGCGGGAGAGGCCAAAACGCCCAGGGATAGCCCAAAATGCCCAAAGTTTCCGGGCAAAGCCGATTTTTCCCGGGATATTTGACCTCCAAACCACCCGCTGCCGGCCGAAAACGCAGCTCCACATTCCCATTCCAAGTTATTTCCCCACCACCTTAACATCCCAAAAACTCTACCCAAAATGCAATATACACTCCCCCCCAAAAAAAGGGAATTTCAGGCAGCAGGAAGAGCCCACCCACGGATTTAATTAAATCCAACATCCTTGATACAAAATACTCCCATTTTACCTATTTCACATCCGTGTTTTCCAGGCTGGGAAGGAATTTTCTGCCGGCACAGGGCCCGGCCCTGCTGGAAAACGCCCCTTGCAAACAAACTCCGGAGCTGTCGGGATTTTTCCAGCTCCAAACCAGCCCAACAAGCCTGGCAAAAAGCAATAAATATATAAATATATCCCGGTGCCCTCCAGGTGACTCCAGGGAAAAAGCAACGCTCCTTTCCCTGGGATAATGGGCTGAGCCAAGAAAACCTCCTTAAGCAAGAACAGGACTCAAGGATGGTGGTGGGGAGGATTTTATCCCTCTTATCCCAACATTTGTAAGGGGGAGACACTTCCCAACCTATTTTTGGGAAGCAGCAAAAGCATCTTTTAGACAATCAATAATTAAAGTGAATTTTCTGGGAATTAAAGTGATTTTTCTGCTTTTTATTCCTGGGAATTAAGCAGAATTTTTCTGGGACTTAACGTTAAAGAGTGATTTTTTTTTTTCTGCTTTTTGTTTTATTTTGATTCATGGGAATTAAGCAGAATGTTGTTCCTTTTTTTTTTGTTTTATTTTTTTTTTTTTTTGTTCTTTTCTTTTTTTTTTTTTTTTTTTTTTTTGTTTTTTTTTTTTTTTTTTTTTTTTTTTTTTTTTTTTTTGTTTTTTTTTTTTTTTTTTTTTTTTTTGTTTTTTTTTTTTTTTTCTGAGAAATTTAAAGTGGTTTTTTTCTGGTGTTGTTTTTTTTTTTTTTTTTTTTTTTTCTTTCCTGGGAATTAAAGTGATTTTTCCAATTTTTTTTTTTTTCTGGGAATTGAAGTGAATTTTTCTAGTTTTTTTCCTGGGAATTAAAGTGATTTTTCTGATTTTTTTTTTCTGGAAACTGAATTGAATTCTTCTGGATTTTTTTTTTCCCTTGGAACTGGAGTGAATTTTCTGGTTTTTTTTTTTTCCTGGGAATTAAAGTGATTTTTCTTCCTGAATTTTTTGTTTTTTTTTTTTTTTTTTTTTGTTGTTTTTCCTGGAAACTGAATTTGAATTCTCTTCTTGGATTGTTTTTTTTTTTTTCCCCTTGAACTAGGAGGTTGAATTTTCCTGGTTTTTTTTTTTTTTTTTTTTTTTTATTTTTTATTTTTTTTTTTTTTTTTTTTTTTTTTTTTCCCTTGTGAATTTTCTGTTTTTTTTTTTTCCTGGGAATTAAAGTGATTTTTCTGATTTATTTTTCTTTTTAAATTTCATTTCCAAGCTTTCCACTTCCCACCCCAAAAACTTGGGAAAAAGCACCTCAAGGCCTCCCAGAGGAACTGGGGGGGTTTTGCATCCCAGAACCAGCTCAGCAAAGGCCCCGGGAAGGAGGGAAGGGAGCAAAGAGCACCCCCAGAAGTCTGGGATTCATCCCACTCCACGGCTGCCCCAGCACCTCCTGGAAAGATCCCGGGGCACCCCGAACAAGGAACTCGGGCTGGGAAGGGCTCCCCTCCCAGGGAATCAGCCTTGCCTGGGAATGAAGCCCTTCCCAGCCCAGTTTTCTTGGGATAAAGGGAATTTCACCCCCTAAATCCACCTCTCCGTGCACCCGGGACCCCCCCAGGACGTGGATACACGGACACATCCCGGGATTCCAAACCTCCCATCCCCAAAAACTCACCCTGGGCTGGGGAAAAACAGGAGCGAGGAGCGATTTTTCCGGCTGGCAGCCGGAATGTTGGCACAGGTGGCACTGACTCAGCCAGGGCTGGGCACTCAGCAGGGCTGGGCCGGCCCCAAATCCCCATTAATGCGCTCAGATGGCTCATTAACCAGGAGAAAAATCAATTAATTAATAGATAATGAGGTTTCATCATTAATTATCCCCCCGGGATCGGGTCCTGTCCTCACAACCAGCCAAGAGCCCCCCCAAAAATCCACCTCGGAACTTTTTTCCCCACACAAATCCAGGGATTTAGGGTAGTTTGTATTGATATAAAAATGAATTAATTAGTAAATAATCAGGTTTAATGGTTTATATTCATGTAGAAATAAATTAGTTAATGGATAATGAGGTTTCATCATTAATTATCCCCCTGGGATCGGGTCCTGTCCTCACAACCAGCCAAAAGCCCCCCAGAAATCCACTTTGGAGCTTCTTTTTCCACACAAATCCAAGGGTTTAGGGGGGGTTAATGATACAAAAATTAAGTCATTAATAGATAATTAGGTTTAGCCATTAATTATCCAAGGCTTTAGGGTGGTTTTCCAGCTCTTTGCTGGGAAGAAATTCCAAGGGATCCCCGGACAAGTCTGCCAAGGGGGTTTATTCCCCCGGGAGATCTTTGGGATGCTGGGGGGGGGCACAGGGATCTCATCCAGCCCCTGGATCCCTCTGGGAAAGCCCCCAGGGAATGTTTGGGACACAAACACCTCGGATCCAGCCCTTGCAGGAGCCCCCGAGCCCCGGGAATGCTCCCCTGGGAATGCTCCTGGAGCCTCCTCCCGCAGCGCTGCACCGGCATTGACCGCAAAACCATGCAAGTAATGCAAATCTATGCAAATCTATACAAATCTATGCAAATGTATGCAAATGTATGCAAAGGAGCCCCTCCCTGGGCCGGGCCCTCACCCGGAGCTGCTGCCGCGGGAACCCAAAAAACCTGTTTTTGGGGGCGTGGGGCGAGAATTTGGGAGGAACTTGAACTATTTGGCGTTGAACAATGCAGGGAAGGGAAGGGGTGTGTTTGTATCGGTTTATTTTTAGATAACTAAACACATTTTATTCCTATTGTGCATGTTTATACTTCAATGTCTTTCAATTTATTTGAATAGATTTTAATTTTAACACATCATATACATTTTCAGATTTTTATATCTATTTTTCTATTTCATATATATTATATATTTTCATATCATTATATTTCAGTTTATTTCCATTTATTTTCAATATATTTTAATTTTAACACATCTGTGTAAATTTTATACATTTATTTTTATATAGTGATATTTATTTTTATATTTATACTATATATTTATATATTTACATCTCAGTTTATTTAAATGTATTTTCAATATATTTTAATTTTAACACATCTGTGTTTATATACACATATATTTATATATATTTATTTTCATACGTTTAAATGTATTTTTATGTATTTTATATATGCTACATATGTTTATATATTCATATATTCATAACTATATACTTATAAGTGCTTATATATTATATTTAATTTATATATATCTATATAGCCATGTTTAAATTTATTTCAATTCAATATATTTTCATTTTAACACATCTATATTTACATACATATATTTTTATAGATCTATTGTTTATATACGTGTTTTATAGATTTGTTATATGTTTACATATATTTTCTATAAATTGTATATGTGTTCATATAGTAATATTTTCATTTATTTTATTTTTAATATATTTTAACATGTGTATAGTTATATATATTAATTATATATAAATATAATTATATTTTAGATATAAATATGTATTATATATATTAATATATTTTAACACACGTAGAGTTATATATATTGAAATTTTAATATATCTCTATTTTATATTATTAAATATACTATACTTTAGCATATATAGCACATATAAAGAAAATAAATAATTCTATTGATTAATACAGATTAATACAAATAAACAGATCAATACAAATAAATAAAAATAATTGATGCTTCTATTTAAATTTATTCATTTAAATACACCAATTCTGCATTAATATGTCTACTCCATATCCATATATATTGACAGGGATCCATGGAATTAGGGAATGATCCAGCCCAGGAATGCCCCCTGCTGGCACCTTCCCGGGAAAACTTTGGGACAACTTCTCCAGGAGATCTCCCAACTTTTCCAGAGGGTTTTCTGGGGTTATTTTTTAATTCTCTATATCTGTATTTTTATAAAGACCCGCGGAATTGTGGGTGGGGCTGGAGCCCATCCAGGGCTGGGCGTCTTCCCAGGAAAGCTCTGGCCCAGCTCCTCCAGAGGTCTCCCAGCTTCTCCAAAGGGGGTTTTTGGGGAATACTTTGCATGGACCCCCCAAACTCTGCCCTCCGTGACTTCCCGAGCCCCGGGATGGAGCTGCCGGATCCCTGGGAGCGCATGGAAGGACTCGGGGGAGCAGCTGGGCTGGGTTGGCTCCCTGCTTTTCCACCCAAAATTCCCTCAGAGGTGCCCAAACCCACCCCTGGAGCTTGGACTGCACATGGATCCAGCTTCCAGCTCCTCCCTTGCTCCTTCCACATCTCCCAGACGGGCAATTCCCGGAAAAACCCACGTGTCTGCATCATCCCACTGAGCCAGAGCCTAAATCCCCCTCTTCCCTGCACGAAATCCTTGGGAAAGTTCAAGGTGTGTGGACAAATCACCTCCTGGAGCATCAGCAATTCCATAAAAAACTCGGGAGGTGCCACCTGGCTGCAGAAGGAGCATGGAAAGGGACTTGAATGGATTGCATCCATCCCTTTCCATGTTCTCCACATGGATCTCTGCTCCCTGCTTGGATTGCATCCATCCCTTTCTACATGATCCAGGTGGATCCCTGCTCTCTGCTGTAGTGAGGATGCAAATTCCCCTGGCAGCCATTCCCACGCCGTTCCCAAAGCCACCCTATCCCAGGATACTTGGATTTTTCCAGAGGCTCTTGCTGCAAACCCCCTTTTCCAATTGCTACGGCCACATCCCAAATATCCCCATCCCCAGGGATACCCCAAATATCCCACCC